GCATGACGGGGTGGCGCCCCAACTCCCCAATCGGCCCTGCTCTGAGCCTGACCAGGGGCTGCACCTAGGGATTGGGCCTGCCCTCTGCCACCCAGGAGCAGGCCTAAGCCAGCAGGTCGTTATCTCCCGAGGGGTCCCAGACTGCAAGAGGGCACAGGCCGGGCTGGGGGAACCCCCTCCCCCCGCCCCCGCGTGCACAAATTTTTGTGCACCAGGCCTCTAGTATATATATAAAAGCCTAAGTGACCATTACGACTGGACAACTGGATGACTGGACAACGGGCCAGTAAGTATGGTGAGCACTGACCACCAGGGGCAGACTGACCTGATGGTCATTTCACTCACACAGCCAACCTTTTGTGGCTGGCCAACCTCTCTCAGTCCCTCCCTGCTTCTGGTCCTAATTGGGACTGGGAGAGACAGCCCCAATTGGCAGGGAGGGACCCAACCTATGCATGAGTTCGTGCACTGAGCTTCTAGTCTAATATAATTGTACAGATATGTGATACCTACATTTGGGATATGTTTTAAGAATCATGTTGTGCCCTATCCGGTTTGGCTCAGTGGATAGAGCATCAGCCTGTGTACTCTAGGGTCCCAGGTTCGATTCCGGTATTCTTTTTCTTTTTTCTCTTTGGTTTATTATGGAAGTTATAAACCCTTTCACTATTCTTCTTTTGGTTACCTTAGACAGTATGAAATGCATCCCTGACTTATCAAATTCTAACATAATTGTACAGACATGTGCCACCTACCTTTGGGATTTGTTTTAAGAAACATGTTGTTAGGCAAGTTTGTTGTAGTGCAAACATCATAAAGTGCACTTACACAAACCTAGACAGTACAGCCTAATCGGGATTTCGGCAGTGTGGTATATCCTATTGTTTCTAAGATAAAACTCTGTACAGCATTTTATTTTAAAAAACAACATGAGATTAAGTCCAGCATAAGGGAAAATGATTCAATCAAGAAACACAATAAACACAAAATGTATGCGGCTGCTGCCATTGTAACATTCTACAATGTTTTAAGCACATTGTACTTTCATAAATAGAAAAATTACCCAGTCTAAAATAATGATATAAGTTATAATATAATAGCTACACTTACTATCATTATCAAATATCATGTACTGTGCATAATTGTATATGCTACACTTTTCTATGACTGGCAGTGCAGTAAGTTTGTTTATACCAGCGTCAACACAAACACATAAGTAATGCCTTGCACTATAGTGCTATGGTGTCTACAATCACCAGGCAATAGGAAATTTTCAGCTCCATTATGATCATGTGGGACCACCAAGGTAGATGCACTCTGTTGTTGACCAAAATTTCATTAAGCAGCTAGTGACGGTAATTGTACTTTTATTCTCTTCATAGAAAATGCAAGGACTCCAGATATGTTACCTCTATTTTTCTTCCCCAACATCAATGGTATGCTTTATTTTAATTTTGTGTATGTTTGAAATTCTGCAGACATTATTACTATTGTTTTATATGGTCAATATTTATTTAAATTTATATTTAAATATTTTCTTGCTCTATTTCTTTTCCTACAACTCTTACGTTGTTTTTGCATAAATAATATTCTCTAGAATTTTTTAATGTCTCTCTCAGTTTTTGTTTGACTGAATAAATCTTAGGGAATATTTTTCCTGGGTACAGAAAAATTCTGGATTGGCAGGAGTTTTGGGTGATGTTGTTTCTGCATGTTAATCAGTCTGTAATCTCTGTTTTACATAATTTCTGTTGATTTATATATTGTCCTTCTAACTATTGCTCCTCTGTGGGTACTTTGTCTTTTTATATCTTTCATGATCATTTCTTTGGTTTTCTGTAGTTTCAGTGAAATGTGAGTAGAGATGTATTTCTTTGTAGTATTCTGCTTGGTGGTTGAGTAGGATTTCTAAAATCTGTGAATTGATGTTTTAACAAATAAGGTTTAGAATACACATTTTGATTGTTACATCTTTAAATATCATTCTGCACCATATTGTCTCTATTCTTATCTTTTCCTGTTAAACATCTTCTTACTGACTATTTTAACTATTCTTATCCTTCCTTTTATATTTTCCATTCTTTTGTCTTTCTAGGCTTCACTCATTATAGTTGTCTTTCTGGAATAAATTATGGGTAATTTTTTTCTGGTCTGACAATTCACTTTTTTCTATTTAATTTGTTGATAAATTTATCTATTTAGTGTTTCATGTGTTATATTTTTGAGTTTTGGAGTTCTATTTCATTTTAGATCTTTTTAAAAATTATTTTAGAGATAGAAAGAGAGGGAGAGAGAAATAGAAACATCAATGATGAGAGAGAATCATTGATTGGCTACCTTCTACACAACCCCAACTGGGGGTCGAGCCCATAACCCAGTCATGTGCCCTGACTGGGAATCGAACTGTGACCTCCTGATTCATAGGTCAGCGCTCAACCACTGAGCCATACCTGGCTGGGCTCTATTTCATTTTACTCTAAAGTGCAGTATCTTTTAAATTTTTAGTTATCTGCTGAAATGTTTAACCTTGGTTTT